ACATTCAATGCATGATTTGATGTACCCCTTAACAAAATTTCGACATCGAGGAAACCAAAAATGTTGTTTAATACGTTTTATTGTGCCATCCACACCTGGATGACCAGCATCATCATGACAAAGTTTCACAATTCTCCATCGTATTCCTTTTGGTATGACCATTAACTCTTTCCCATCATGATGTCTTCTATAGAGCCGATTTCCCTTTAAAATGAATTCCTTCTCATGCTGCTCTCGCTGTGTTGAATCGACACGTCCTTTTAAAATATCAATGATCTGTTGTAAATTTGCATCTTGCTGTTGCATTGTCAAAATCCAATCCTCATTCGAAATGTCAATCATCATTAAATTTGCAGATACATCATCAACTTCGCATGACGGTTCAACAGGAGCTCGACTCATTGCGTCAACGTGAGCCATTAAATTACCTGGGCGATGACTTGACGTATAATCATATTCGAGCAATTTTAACAGCCATCTTGCGACTCGTGGAATCATTGGTGTTACTGTTTTAATACTGGAAATAGCTGAACAATCCGTAAAGATTTTAAAATGTTTGCCCAAAATATACATTCGAAAACGTTGACATGCTTCAACTACCGCTAAAACTTCTAATTCATATCCATGATATTTACTTTCAACATCTGTACATAATCGACTAAAATATGCTATGGGCTTTGATATTCCGTTATCTTCACGTTGCATTAATATCGCTGCAAGTCCAATACTGCTTGCGTCAGTATAAATTTCTTGTTCTTTATTAATGTCATATATTCCCAAAAGCGGCTCATTAGCTAACAATTCAATTAGTTTGAGGAAAGCATTTTCACATTCCAATGACCATTTAAAAGCAATATTCTTTCTCGTTAACTGTGTTAACGGATGAGCAATTTGTGCATAATTCTGAACAAATTTCCTGAAGTAACCTGTAAGTCCCAAGAAACGTCTGACTTCTGTTACATTTGTTGGTATAGGAAATTGTTTTATCGCAATGGTTTTCGTTATACCAGGTTTTATACCATTCTCGTCGACTTCATGACCTAAAAACGATACACTGCCTTTCATAAAATAACATTTCGATAGGCGTAAGGTCAATCCTTCATTACGAATAATTTTCAAAAATTCTTCTAAATTCTCAAGCCCTTCTTGTGCTGTTTCAGATGCCACAATGACTTCATCAACATAACTAACCACCTTACCTCTCAGCGGTTCCATAAGTTTCATCATCATCTTTTGAAATACGCACGGAGCATTTTTGAGGCCAAATGGCATTCGGTTAAACTCATAGTGACCATTATGAGTGACGAACGCTGTCAGCTTTTTCGACGATTCAGCAATTTCAATCTGATAATAGCCTGACATCATATCTAAAGTTGTGAAAAATCTTTTTCCCGCAAGAGTTGATAGAACACCATCTACTGTAGGCATTGACCATGGCTGTTTTTCCGTTACAGCATTTAATGCCCTGTAGTCGATGCATAAACGATCTTCACCATTCGATTTCGGTACAAGAACAATAGGAGACGAGTATTCTGAAGTTGATGTTCGAATAATGTTTAACTCTAATAATTCGTCAACAATTCGTTCCACGACACGTTGTTTAGGAATTGGTATGCTGTAAGGTTTTTTTGTTATCGGCGTTGGAGATGTAACCGCAATCTCCATTTTCGTTGTTTTCGCCTTACCAAGTTCATTTAGATTTTCGCCAAAACAATCATAATAGTTATTTAATAAATTACGCAACTCATTTTGTTCGTTTACCGATAAATTCTCGTTGCACTTAAAATTTTCAGGTGTTATCGCAAACACTTGACAGTTTCCATTTTCAATCACAACGCGACATTTGGACAATAAGTCAATACCGATAATAACGTCATATGCCATGGTATCATCTTCGACCACTAGCATTTCGCACTTGTACTTTTGTTCATCAATAGTTATTGACAACTTATCTGTCTTTTCGGAACACACATATTCACCGCCTGCAAAACCGTTCAAAGTTTTCACACATTTTATTAGTTTACATTTCAATATAATGGCTATATTACGCTTAATTATTGACACACCACTGCCTGAATCGATCAAAGCGTTACATAAGATATTGTTTATACATATTTGTTTAATTATAACACCAGGTTTTTCAATCGCATTTACTGGATTTCGTTTATTACACGTTTTTGTGTCATGGTTTCCTGAACACATTGAACAACGCGGCTTTCGTTGCGGTTTTGGACAATTTTTCGAAATGTGCCCATACTCCCGACAATTATAACAAACCGGTCCCGTTTTTACCACACGAGTTACACTGGAGTCACTGTTATTTTTATTCGGCATATATTGATTATCATTGTAACGTACTACTGGTCTTCGTACGCTTACATTACTGTTCTGTAACGACCGCACAAAATCTGAGCAATTTTTAAATTGCATAGCAGATAATGTCTTCCGCAACCCGTCGTCATACAGCCCGATGGTTACATATCTTATGACCACTTGGTCTTCGAGTTGTCCACGGCGTCCAATAGCTAACATTCGATAATAGTACTCAACAACGCTTTCATTTTTTCTCTGCTGATTGCTCATTAACTGCATATGAATATCAGCAGCATTCAAAACACACGGAAAATCATTTAAGAATGCGATCACAAATTCACCCCAGCTACGAAATACTGGTTGCGAATCAATCCACAATTTTGCGGCACCTCTCAATTTACTTCTTATAGCAAATAGAACAATATGGTCATTCCACTGGTATGCATTCTTTAATTGCTCAACACTTTGAACAAACTGCACTGATGTGACGTCATCACTGTTGTTGTCGAATGACGGCAAAGCATCTATAATATCTCTTATATTACAGTAGTTACTCGCACTCTGCATTGCCATAGCAACATTCGTATTCATATTTGTTTCATACTGCATACGCACATTGGTTTGATCTTGTCTGTTCTGCATGTACGGTGCGTATTCTGCTGACGTAGCAGCTACAGCTATGTTCGGCGCGATCAACGGCGACTTTTGCACACACTCAGGGGTTGAAAAGATTACTGGCGCCAACGTAGACGCATAAGGCATATTCATTACATGTGACGCTGGCAGAGGCCACACTGTACTTGTTGATGCACACGAATATTTGTTCATGTATTGGTTCGGTACAGTCATCGAAGGCAAAGAAACACTCACTGTATTTGTTGTAGTTGTAGTTTGACTTGTTGCATGTAGATTAGTATTCGGCACAAAATACTTATTCGCATTTAATTCCGGCATCGACGTCGCCACCGCATTGATAGGCTGTATTAATGACTCCAATGTCCGCTGGAGACGCAATACTTCGGCTTTCAATTCCAAAACGGTGGTGTTTTCGTTTGCCGTATTAACATCGGCGACACTTTGTTTCTCCTGATCATTATATTCATGCAATTGCGTTTTCACATTACTTTCCTTTACCGAAGGAAAATCATCCAAGTCAATTGCATTTCCCATTGTGTTCGAATCCATTATTTTTATTAATAACTGTTTACACTTATTACCAATAAATTATTATTTGCACTCTTTATTTTAAATCCCACTTCTGAATTTGTCAGACACCGAGTTTAAATAAAACACGTCCGTTTGATTAAGAGTGTCTCGTCAAAACTGACTTTCATTTCTTTATTATATTTCTTATATTAATGCACTCCGAGAGCAACACTCATGAGAGCATGAAAAGATGCATAAGAGCAATGATAATAGAAGTAACAATAAAGCAATAAATAAAAGTAAAAATAACAAAAGAGTGACACTAGTAAGACAGCCTTCAAGTTCTGTACCATCAGAGTACCAATAGAAGCATTCGAGGTTTGTATAAATTCCCATTTATTTTGTTCACTTCTGGATAATAATACTTAAGTTTCAGGAAAAGAAATTGATTTAACGTACGATATCTAAAAAATGAAAAACATGAGATAGTACAGCTACCATATCTCTTCTCGTTGATGCCATTTGGATGTCCATCTATGTGGCACGAGAAATATATTATTTCAACAGTAGCTAGCTTTTTTACTAGAGGCATGTTAAATTCCGTATGTAGATGGTCACACGTAATAAACAATAGCAAACGGGATCAGTAGTATGCAGTACTAAATTTTGTTAAGAGTGAAATTTGTTAGTCTCTTACTCTATGCCTCTCAAAGGTCTTTACCTTTGCGTTATGGAGTAGCATAAACTATATTGGGATGTTCTATTGCATTGTCTAGCAGGGTTTCTATCGTTTATACTGGAGCAGCATACACTATATTGGGATGTTCTGTTGCTTTGTCTTGCAGGTTTTCTTTATTTTTATTCTAGGTACTATTTGCGACCTCGTTAAATGTGTTGCTGGGAAGAAATGCCAACAAATTCTTCTATTGATTGTACGAAGCAGAATAATTTGAGAAGACACTGGGCATACAGTCAAATATGTCACATAAACTATGAAAATTCTGCTGTTGTAAAGATATCTGTATATCTGTATAAACGTATCTGATCAGATACATTGTTTTAGCCAAACCGATTGTGTGTTAACTTGTTCAGCAATAATACTTTATCGAAACAAAATTGAAAGAATAACTATTTATTTCCAAACTAATTACGCAAATTTAATTTATTTTTATTATTTAATATTAACAGTCTGTGTTCCAATAATAATACTTTCAACAAAATAATTAATTAATGAAGCCCAATACAAATAATTCAATTAACTGAATGCTGCTTGTACGCACTGTTGCACTATTTTAATAAGAAGAAATCAATTAACTTAAAATTTAATGAAGAAATGAAGAGTTAATAGAGCATTAAGTGCAACACAATTAAATGTAATTGAATTGGATATTAAGAAAAACACTGAGTGTCCTTTTAATCAAGCTTACATTAGTGCACAAACGAAGTGGAAAATTGTATATTCTTTACTACGGATACGAAGAAGGTATACGAGTACAAAGGATGATTACAATCCATTATGAAAAATGAAATAAAATTATTCTTTACGATATCAACGAAATTCCTTTGAAGTTACTTAAATTATACAATGATTTATATATATATATATATATATATATTTATTACTTACCTCTCATAAACTGAACTATTTGTAAAGAAGTCTACTAGGCAAGCTAATAAATAAGTCTCCGGCAAATTGAATAGTGTATTCAATACATAAACGCGTGATTCATCCAATTTCAAGAATTTATTTGGATACAATTCATAAACCTGGTGGCTGTAAGAAAACGTAAAAGTGTATTAATGAAATTCATAGAAAAGCGACAAATTTATCCATACTTACTGCTTCAAAAACTCAAATCCATGCACACAAACCAATATGTTTCCATATGCGTCTACCTTCAATAAATTGCCATAAAGTGTATCAAACCAGAGACCACGTACAGGAAACGAAGGGTCATATTCAAATTGTAGTATTTCCTTAGGGTAACCCATGCTAACAAGTCGCTCCTTGACAAGGTCGAAACCGAGTTGTTCATATTGTGGCGATTTGTATTCTAATCAAATCAAGAAAAAAAAAAAGACGAAAAAAAAATCAAATTCATAAATTTGCAAGGTTCTAGCTTAAGGTGTGCATAAAGATTAGAAAATTGTAGGAAAAAACTATGCAATTTAGCTGCATTGCTATGCTTCCTGAAAGATATCTAGGTATACAGGAAAAAATGGAGGGGAGAAAATTAAATCAGTGAAAGTTAACATTATGAATAAAATAATCTTTACCAGTCAATGAGAGATAAAATTTTAAAGCAACATTAAGCATAGATTCTCATTTAAACATTACTAGAATAGTGAAAAATGGGGATCTAAAATCTAATAGGGAAAAAATCTATGCAATTAGTACTTTGATAGTGATTTGGTATGTATTTCATATCATCTGGCAACTAATTAAATTAGTTACACATTATAGTAAATAACGAATTAATTAATTTATTATGTAGTATCGCATTGAAACTAATATTTCTGTTTCTTTTGATTTGTCCTTATAACACAATATTAAGGAAAATATTATTGGAGTCTGTTTATTACTAGGTTGGGTTAGGTAGTTGTGTCAGCCTTGTGCACCAAACCTCACTTATGGTAAGCACAAATAATGTCTTATTGTAATACTACGGATAATATTCCGTCCGTATGCCAGATTTGAAGAACCACTTTAAAGGTAGAAGTTCCAAACACCTAGCGAGCGAACGTCGAGTGAGTAACTTTAAGAAAGCGAATCATGCCCGATTCAAGTGAAAGAGAACCAACCTAATAAGTTAATAAACTTAAAGTTTCGTTTGCCTGGGTAGTTTGTATATCTTAAAGTTTGCCTTAGTCATATTTAATAGGTTAGTAGATTGTTTTCTATTACTATCATTTTTTTTTAACATATCTACCAATACAATAAGCGTCTGGGATCCAATGTCCAAAATGATAGTGTCTGTCAATCATACAGCACACACACACACACATTATATATAAAACTTTCTCCCAACAACAGATATATAACAATTTTCAAAAAAAAAGCTAAGTGATGTACTTATTAAATAAATTGATTGAAGGATATAATCATAGGCTAAACTAGTACGAGTTCAGCTTTGAATACGTTTGATGTTATTTGGCCACTTTTACTTCTCACATCATTGGTCGCTTTAATTCAATCACTAAATCAAAGACAAACATTGAACTTTCAGGCTATATCTAATATTTGTCATACGTTCAGAATTTGTATGATGCTTTGTTTTAGAACCAAATCCGGCTTTTTAGAATACTAGAAAACTTTTGATTCTAATAGGTGTTAAACGAAACAGCAATTTGAATGGGTGTGAAGAGTGAAAGATGGTTCTGTACTTTATACAAATCGTGAAATATGATTTTTAAAAAATACAAAGAAATGAAGCTTGAAACCACTTTATAAATCAGTTGATAAGAAGAAAAAAAGAAGATAAGTCAGTGATAAATTATAGTAGAAGAAATTGAATTTATGGTTACTTTTAAATTTATTTTTCGATATAATTTGTTAATGTTTATCGCAGAACATAGAAGTTATTTACTTTCCAGTTGATGAAACTATTTTTGTTTGTTTTTCAGTACTTTTATTAAAAAATTGGTATTAGCTTTGGCTGTTTTGCAGCACTTTTATTTAAAAAAATCTCTTTCGACAGTGTAATCATAGCCGAAATATGTGTGTCCATATTAACTTCATTGTCATGACTCGACGCATAAAGTTTTTGGAAAGAATTTTCCGTTTAAAAGAATATATTTTATATAATGAATTCAATAAGTAATCCTTCCATTGAAAAAAATTTCTCATTTAAACGAACATACCTTGTATAATAAATTAAATTCATGATCTCTCCATGGAAGAGAACTTTCCGTTTAAAAGAACATACTCTCTCTAAAAAATTAAACTACTAATCTGGAGAAAACTGTAATGTGAAGAGAGCTTTCTGGGCAAAATAATATATTTTGTATAACAAATTCTCATCGTTTAAAAGAATATACTTTGTATAATAAATTAAATCTCTCTATTGAAGAGAACTTTTAGTTTCAAAGAACATACTGTCTCTATTAATTATTAAGAGAGTAGACGTGAAAATTGCCCAACAGCCGGTACTGCGGCCAGAAGAGACCTATTGTACCAGTTTCACTATTGATTAAACAAAGCTCCTTAAAGCTTTGTGAATAAAGTCTAGAACTAAATCTAGAGAAGATTTCTTAATCTGGTCTGGGTTTCTTCTGTGCGTTATTAAAGCTGGACAGTCACAAAGAATGTGCATGGTCGTTTCCTCATCTTCGAGGCATAATCTGCATTCCGAGTTAGCACATAATTGTAGTTTATGAAGGTGATATTTCAAACCATAATGACCTGTAATGAAACCTGTTATCAACCTTAAATTACATTTTGAGAATTTAAGAATGTCTTTGTAGGAGTACGGTGTTATCAGTGCTTTGCTTTGTCTGAGTCCTGGAAAGTTTACCCAGTACTCCAGCCGCATATGATTTTCCATTTCATTGATAATCTGTTTTGTATTGGCCCAGTTTATTCCACAAAAGGGTTGAGGGCCTATAAAAGCAGTTTTTGATGCAGTTCTGGCTAGCTCATCAGCTTTTTCATTTCCCAAAACTTCTCTGTGGCCCGGAACCCAGTAAAGGCTTACCTTATTCCGAGCTGCAACTGTCTGTAAAAAACTAAACCTGCAATCTGTCTAGTAGAGTGTTCTATACAGTGAAGAGAACTGTTCGTTTAAAACAAGATACTTTGTGTGGGCATGAATACTGGGGACTAATAATATTGTGCGATTAAAGAGATATGCTCTTTTTTTGACTACAGCTTTCATTCTTTATGTACAAATATTAATATTTGTATAGTCTTACCTGCCAGTGTGTAATCCATATCGAATCCATAGAACTTAATATTTTCCAAATGCAATGATCTGTTAACGAAAATTCTGTAACGAGAAGGAAAATAAAAAAATAAATTCATTAAAAACAATTGCAATCAAAAACATCTGTAATTATTGAATAAAATAAATTATTTGGACATTTGTTGTGCGTATTAACATAAATTTCAATTATCCTTTCACTGATCCTTTCTGAATCACTGCACGCACACGAAAATAGAAACGCCTAGGTAGGATGTAGCCAAGCAACCTACACGCTTACCAAACATGCCAAACATAATTAATATTACGATTTCATAAGGATTCTGCTCCTAATAAGGATGAGTCTAATTAGTACAAAAACATGACGTCATATGCAGACGCTTAGCTTAAAACGTAAAATAGAATTAATATACGATATTTTGATATTTTTGTTCGCAAAAATTTATATTTATTAAAGCGCAATTAAATTTTTAAAATATTTTTAGATTTTCCACATATTTTCTGAAGCAGATGCGCTATTTTGGATGGAGCACTTTGTTTGTTTACTTGTTGCCAATAACAGATTAAAAGCCAGTCTGCCCAGAGTTGGGTTCACTTAGCATGGGTGTGGGAGAGTTCCAGTTTAATCAGTTTAAATTTAAATCAAAACGGCGTCTATTTCGAGATTTTACAAGTAAATTGTGTTCAAATTTTGTAAACAAAATTGATGCTATCGACGCCAGATTGGAAAACATAAACTCTCCTTACTTTGTTGTGGTGAGCTGTGGTGTGCTGTGTTGTGCTGTGATGTCCTGGCAGCTTATAAGCGGCTGTTGTTGGAGCACATGCTTCGAAAATGCCGAGCAAGTTATGCGTTGGAGGTTGGTCGGCAGGAGAGGATTAATATTTGTTTACCATTTGCTATTTATAATATTGCAAATGCTAAAAGGTTATCAGTAAAGTTTATTGCAAAAACATTAAATGTTGTGAACTATTTTAGAAAATTTTCACAGAAAAATTGATGAGAAGTTTGCTAAATTGTTAAGCCAAAACTGCAACAAAGTTATTTCATCAGAAAGTTATGAAGTTTATTGGTTTTTCAGCACAAAATTATGGAATGATTGCAGACAAGTAGAAGTGCTTACTTTAGGGATTTAAATGGCAAATTAAATTGTATGGAGACTTTTAATTGATGTTTTAGAAGTGATTGTTTTTTAATACGACGAGTGTAAAGAACTCATGACATGAGTAACGTAGAAGGAATAAGCTATTAGGTTAATTAAAGTCATATGCACTTATCTATGTAAACATCATTCACTGAAAGAGATAACTTTTGTTGTGAAATATAAAATACCATAACACTTACATACCTAAATACTTTTTATATTATTATTATTATGTTAAGCCATTTCCGAGTTAATGCAACTGGGCACTTTTACTCTATGATAGCTGTGGGGAGTCTGCAGAATCCCGCCCATCTCACTGACTTATATGAGTATTACTGATAATCTTCGTGATTATTCAATGATTGAACTAAGATCTGCGTACCGCCCCGTGCAGTTATTGATAACTCTGAGATAATTTATATTTACTTATTTTTTCATATTGTACCTTAGCCGTAATTTTTTCTTTCAGAGTTGTAAAAAAATAGCATTAAGTCTACTAGAATAATCTCAAATACTCCTAGCTATATGACAAATGATTGTATACACCGCGATCTCAACATCCCAGTAGTGAAGGATGTTATAAAAAGCCAAGCCAGAAAACACAAAAAACCTATGCAATATCATCCTAACAATTTTGTTAGTAGAATTATAGCAGAAGGAAGAAAGTTTACAAGTCCCCACAAACAAACGCCACTGGAACTGTGGGGGTGAATGTCGTACCAGTTCTCTTGTTTTTTACCTATTAAGTTTAGGACACTTTCCTCTAGACAATAAACTTGAACCTTCGTTTAGTCAGTACCTATACTTTTATAATACTTTTCTTCAATAATAATTTACAGAAAGCTATGGGTATGTTAATATCGCTTCTGTTTAATTCCAAGGGATAGTTAATACCTAATCTAGCGAATTCGTCGGTAAATATTTATTATTACTATTATTATTATATTATATTATGTTGAGGCTAGTTGAGTCAGTGCACTTGAGCACTTCTACTCTCTATTAACTCTCTCTATTAA